GAACCAGGAAGAAATAGAAAACCTGAACAGAACCATAACTAGCAAGGAAATTGAAGCAGTAATCAAAAATCTCCAACAAACAAGAGTCCAGGGCCAGATGGCTTCCCAGGGGAATTCTACCAAGCATTTAAAGAAGAATTAACACCTATTCTTCTGAAACTGTTTCAAAAAATAGAAATGGAAGGAAAACTTCCAAACTCATTCTGTGAAGCCAGCATCACCTTGATTCCAAAACCAAAGACCCCACTAAAAAGAATTACAGACCAATATCCCTGGTAAATATGGATGCGAAATTCTTACCAAGATACTAGCCAATAAGCTCCAACAGTACATTGAAAGGATTATTCACCACGACCAAGAGGGATTTATCCCTGGGCTGCAAGGTTGGCTCAACATCCGTAAATCAATCAATGTGATACAATACATTAATAAAAGAAGGGACAAGAACCATATGATCCTCTCAATAGATGCAGAAAAAGCATTTGGCAAAGTACAGCATCCTTTCTTGATTAAAACTCTTCACAGTAGGGATAGAGAATATCATAAAAGCCATATACGAAAAGCCCACAGTGAGTATCATTCTCAATGGGGAAAAACTGAAAGCTTTTCCCCTAAGGTCAGGAACACGACAGGGATGTCCACTCTTACCACTGTTCAGCATAGTACTAGAGGTCCTAGCCTCAGTAATCAGAAAACAAAAAGAAATAAAAGGCATCCGAATCAGCAAAGAAGAAGTAAAACTCTCACTCTGCCGATGACATGATACTCTATGTGGAAAACTCATACAGGAATTCAGCAAAGTGGCAGAATGTAAAATCAATGCACAGAAATCAGTTGCATTTCTATACACTGAAAAAGAAGAAAGAGAAATTAAGGAGTCGATCCCATTTACAATTGCACCCAAAACCATAAGATACCTGGGAATAAAAACTTAACCAAAGAGGCAGAGGACCTGCACTCAGAAAACTATAAAACACTCATGAAGGAAACTGAGGAAGACACAAAGAAATGGAAAAACATCCCATGCTCATGGGTTGGAAAAACAAATATTGTTAAAATGTCTATGCTACCTAGGGCAATCTATACATTCAATACAATCCTTATCAAAATACTATCAACTTTTCTCACAGAGCTGGAACAAATAATTCTAAAATTTGTATGGAACCACAAAAGACCCCAAATAGCCAAAGGAATGTTGAAAAGGAAAACCAAAGCTGGTGGCATCACAATCCTGGACTTCAAGCTCTATTACAAAGCTGTAACCATCAAGACAGTATGGTACTGGCACAAAAACACATAGATCAGTGGAACAGAATAGAGAACCCAGAAATGGACCCTCAACTCTATAGTCAGCTAATCTTCGACAAAGCAGGAAAGAATATCCAATGGAAAAAAGACCGTCTCTTCAAAAATGGTGGTGGGAAAATTGGACAGCCACATGCAGAAGAATGAAACTGGATCATTTTCTTACACCACACACAAAAATAGACTCCAAATGGTTGAAAGACCTAAATGTGAGACAGGAATCCATCAGAATTCTAGAGGAGAACACAGGCAGCAACCTCTGTGATCTCGGCCACAGCAACTTCTTGTTAGACACGTCTCCAAAGGCAAGGGAAACAAAGACAAAAATGAACTATCGGGACTTCATCAAGGTAAAAAGCTTCTGCACAGCAAAGGAAAACAGTCGACAAAACCAAAAGACAACTGACAGAATAGGAGATGATATTTGCAAATGACATATCAGATAAAGGGCTAGTATCCAAAATCTATAAAGAACTTATCAAGCTCAACACCCAAAGAACACATAATCCAATCAAGAAATGGACAGAAGAGGGGTGCCTGGATGGCTCAGTTTCAGCATCTGCCTTCGGCTCTGGTCATGATCAGATCTCGTCCTGGAATCAAGCCCCCTGCCGGGCTCCCTGCTCATCGGGGAACCTGCTTCTCCCTCTCCCTCTGCAGCTCCCCCTGCTTGTGCGCTTGCTAATAAAATCTTTAAAAAAAAATTTTTTTTTTAAATGGGCAGAAGGCATGAACAGACATTACTCCAAAGACAACATATAAATGACCAACAGACACATGAAAAAATGCTCAGTATCAGGAAAATACAAATCAAAACTACAATGAGATACTACTTCACACCAGGTCAGACGTTTAGTCAGAATGGCTAAAATTAACAAGTCAGGAAATGACAGATGTTGGTGAGGATGCGGAGAAAGGGGAACCCTCTTACACTGTTGGTGGGAATGCAAGCTGGTGCAGCCACTCTGGAAGACAGTATGGAGGTTCATCAAGATATTAAAAATAGAGCTACCCTGTGACCCAGCAATTGCACTACTGGGTGTTTACCCCAAAGATACAAAATGTAGTGATCCGAAGGGACACCTGCACTCCAATGTTTACAGCACCATTGTCCACAATAGCCAAACTATGGGAAGATCCCAGATGTCCATAGACAGATGAATGGATACAGAAGATGTGTATATATACAATGGAACACTCTCAGCCCTCAAAAAAAATTAAATCTCGCCATTTACAGTGCTGTGGCTGGAACTAGAGGGTATTATGCTAAGTGAAATAAGTCAGAGAAACAATTGTATGATCTCACTCATAGTGGAATTTAATAAACAGGATCATAGGGGAAGGGAGGGAGAAATAAAACAAGACGAAATCAGAGGGAGACAAACCATAAAAGACTCAACTATAGGAAACAAACAGAGGGTTACTAGAGGGGAGGAGGTTGGAGGGATGGGGTAACTGGGAGATGGACATTAAGGGGGGCACGTGATGTGATGAACACTGGGTGTTCTATACAGCTGAAGAATCCATGAACTCTACTTACGAAACTAGTAATATATGTTAATTAACTGAATTTAAATTAAAAGAAAAAAATAAGCTTAACTGTTCCTTGTCAGCAAGCCTGATGAAAAACTGAATAATGAGATAGTGGAAACCTAGACTGCCTTTAAGAAATTCTCAAGATTAAAACTCAGCTTAAATGTTAACAAAACAAAACAAGGGGCACCTGGGTGGCTCAGTCAGTTAAGCGTCTGCCTTCAGCTTAGGTCATGATCCCAGGATCCTGGGATCGAGCCCCCATCGGGCTCCCTGCTCAGCAGGGGAGTCTGCTTTTCCCTCTCCCTCGGCCTGTCACTCTCCCTGCTTGTGCTCTCTTTCTCTTTCAAATAAATCTTTAAAAAAAAAAAAGTATGGTGGTTCCTCAGAAAGTTAAAAATTACCATATTATCCAACAATCTCATTTCTGGGTATATACCCAAGCAGTTGAAATCACAGATATGAACAGATACTTGTACACCAATGTTCAAACAGCATTATTCACGATAGCCAAAAGGTAGAGGCAACCAAGTGCCCATTGGCAGGTGGATAAAATGTGGTATACCTACACAGTGGAGTATTTTTCATCCTTAAAAGTGAGGAAAATTCTGAAACAAGCCCCAACACGGGTGAACCCCAAAGGCATTATGCTGAGAAGCTGGCAGTCATAGGAGGACAAATATACTACACAGTTCCACTCATATGAGGTAAAGTAGTCAGATTCATAGAGACAAAATAGAATGGTGGTTGCCAAGGGCTGGAGAGGGGAGAATGGGAGCTACTGTTCAATAGGTTTAGAGTTTTGGTTTTAGAAGATGAAAATGTTCTGGGTATGGATGGTGATGACCACACAGCAGGATGAATGTGCTTAATACTAAACTGTACATTTAAGAATGGTTCAAGTAGCAAACTTTATTTTATAATTTAAAAAAAAAAAGTTTCCTGGGGGATTACTATCTAGCCTGATCTGGAAAATTGGAGGTGGCAGTCAACATGGGATGTTTGAAATCATGCTTGTAAAGACAATGCAATTACTGAGAGTGACCAAGTCTGGCAGAGGTAAAGAATGAAGACCAGAAGAGAAGAGGTCTAGGGCCTCCAGTGCCCCAGTGTTGGATGAGTTGGAGGACAGTGAAATCACCAGAGCATAAAGGGAGGAGAAATGAAGTGTGAGCCGGGGGGTGGGGTGGGTGTGTGTGTGTGTCCCCCCAGGGCCACGGGGTTAAATGTGAAGGCAGGTCAGCGTACAGTGCCCAGCAAGAGTGGGCACTCCAACGTCAGCCTGCATATTCCTGTGCTGGAGCTTATGATACCAGACACTCTATGTACACTTTTAAGTGCTTGTATTTTTTAGTTGATCAATAACATTTCTAATGTACTTCCAAAATAAGGATCGGTAAGTTACAACTTCAAGGAAAAAATCTGGGCTATTTAACAGATTTAAATGCTTAAGACAGGGCTAGACAGAGAACATTTTAGGCTTTTCAGGCCCCATGGTCTTTGTCACAACTGCTCAACTCTGCCATTATAGCTGGCGAGCAGCCACGCGTAGTTCATCAACAAATGAGCACTGTGGTGAAATGAAAAGGAAACGTTATGAACAAAAACAGGCAGTGGGTTCCGGTTTGCTGACCCCTGGCCTGACACGGTATTTGTAAGGTAGTGCTGCAGGGTTTTTGTACCTAACATTCTAAGGATTTGATAAGTTGTATTTGCCAGTGCCTACTCTGTAATATTTGACCTTGTATCTTAATTAATCTTACCAAAGCCATGATGTTACACTTCTACATAATACTTGCTAGATTCTGATTATGTAAGTCATGGCAAAAGTTTGGTTTTTTTTTTTTTAAAGATTTTTATTTAAAATGACAGACACAGCGAGAGAGGGAACACAAGCAGGGGGAGTGGGAGAGGGAGAAGCAGGCTTCCTGCGGAGCAGGGAGCCCAACGTGGGGCTTGATCCCAGGACCCTGGGATCATGACCTGAGCCAAAGGCAGACGCTTAACGACTGAGCCACCCAGGCGCCCCAATGGCAAAAGTTTTATTAGGTTTCAGGTCTGAAGATTAAATTTCTGAGACGAGGCAAAAAAAAAAAAAAAAAAAAAATTATGACAAACATTAATGAAGTATTTGTGTTTTAATCTCTCTCATCAATTTGCAGGGGTCCAGATTAGATGACCAAAGATGTGCTCCACCACCTGCTGCCACAAAGGGACCAACAGTACCAGATGAGGACTTTTTTAGCTTGATTTTACATTCTCAGGCAAAAAGAATGGATGAACAGAGAGTTCTTTTACAAAGAGATCAAAACAGAGACACTGAATTTGAACTGAAGGACCTTTTGCAAAGTAATGCTTTGTTGGAATTTAAAAATACAGGAAAAAAATAAGCAAACCACTAGTTATTATGGATATATTTTTAAAAAACGACCTTATTTCCTTTCAGAACACTGCGGGGAAATTCAATCTATTTTTCCTTAAGAGGAGAAATTATAGCACTGTAATACAGCTTAAAATGTTCTAGAATGATGTAAATATTTAACCTTTAGTAGTATGATATTAACATTCCTCTGGACACGCACTTGTTGCAGGGTGGAGGAGTCTTATAAAAGGTGCTTCATCAGCTTTTGTGATTAAGGCTCGGGATTGTGTTCTTTGGCAACCTGTTAGATTCCTTTACCTAGAGTTTGTAAAGTGGGAAGATAAATGAATCTAGACTAGAATTTAATCCTCTTGCTGAGATAATCTTTTTTTAAATCTTGACAATGGGATTTTTTTTATACTGAACCATGGATGTAGTGAGAAATTTTGCTGCTTAGTGAAAACATACCTGACCAATGTGTAAAAAAAAGTCTCATTAAAAAAATCTAGATCTTTTTTCTGTTAAGAGAGTCATATTTTCAGTATGTTATTAGTTCGAAGCCATTATAAAAACTCTTAAACTTTCAGCATGTTTTGGGTCCTTTAATTTTAAAGTGTGTGTGGCTTAAAATTATACCTTTTGTAACAAAACACTGGTGTAAAACTTTTTAAGACCTAATGTCAAAACAAAACAAAACCCGAAAATTCATGTGGTTATATCAAGAACCTAGGCCTTGAAAATAGAAAACAGATGAAAACTCACAAAATTTAAGTATGAAAGATGTTAAGTTAAGCCCTCAGTCATCATTAAGCCTTCCTTCCCCCTCCCAGAAACTGAAGGTAGTTTACAAGGGTATGTAACAGGACGACATAAAGTTAGCTTAGGAAAAGAACACAGTAAGATGGGATAGAGTAGAGCCTAGTCTAAGGGTGAATTCTAGAACGAAAATGCCCATAACCAGAACAAGTTGGCAACTCATTCACCTCTGGTTGCTTCTGATTCTGCACAGCTGGGACGGTATCTGGGGCTCTTTTCTTTCTAAAAATCCTTCAGGTGACTTGGTGGGCAGTGAGAACCACTTCTCCAAATGGCCAATGTTCACAAAAATAAAATAGAAAGATAGTTACTCAATCTGGAATCACATCAAAGGCTCGGGGGAAAAAAATTATTCTTCTTGGTTCTAAGATCAAATTTTGTCAAAAGTACTCAGTTAACACCCAGATCATCTTATGTCTTATATATTACATATACAATATAACGTCCTAGACAGCATCCTTTTAAAAACTGCACATAAGTTTCATGGGGTTTTTTTCTTACCAGCATATTCAATGAGATAAGACAGCATACCGAATCACAGTAATGTAAAAATAGGTGTTTATTTTGTGTATACAATAGTTCTTAGACCCTGTAAACATTCAACATTATCTATTCCACTTAAACACTGCTTTTATAAAGCTGTCTACCCCATTCTGATTTTCCTAAAAGCCTGCTGCTAAAATTCTTGATTCTAATGATAAATATGGGCTGGACAATAAACAAGTCTATTTCCCCAAGTTATAAACTGGCCTTGATCTGTTCGGTCTGCTTTAGTGTCTTCCCTAAATTGCTGTCATCATTCAACAGCAGTGGTATGTTGCCTCGCTAGCTGTCAAAGTGGACTGCATCCCCAAACGGATATCTGTAATGAGAGAATACAAAGATGAAATTCTACTTAATTTTTTACAGATTCATTTTTTGGATAAAAAGCAGAAGTGCAAACAGCATTAACTCCACTCTCATAGTTAGTCTGTCACCTGAGGCAATTTGCTCTTCAGAATCCCATCAAAGCTCAGAGGACAACTACCTCCCTGGGCACATATTTACCAATTAGTGTGAACAGGTCTGGCCCTCAGGGAGGACTTAATATGCACCGATGTTCACAAATCCACTCCAAGCTGCAGGCATCCTTGTGTGAGTTCATTTGTCCCATACCTACTGTGTTGCAAATTTTTCTATAAAATCCTATTGCTTTTTCTGGAAAGAACTACTACCTTTCTGATGAATTACTAAAGATGTTTGCAATATTAAACTACAAAATAATATTAACAAATTTTACATCCTCTTGCTGAGGTAATTTTTTAAAATCTTAATTGGCAATGGCATTTTTTTATACTTAACCAGGGACATACAGAAATTATGCTGTTTAGCAAAAATAATGTACTCGGCCAATGTGTAAAGTATATATTTGGTGGGGAAAGGGGTAAAGCTAGTCTCTGGCTACTGACTATGTAAGACCAAGATCACCGATTAACAAACTGTGGTAACTAAATTCTCCCGGCCATCTTCAGGTCTGTCTTAGCAGAGGGCAAAAAGGGGCGACAAGGAAGCAGGCCCAGTCAGCACTGGCAGAGTTGAGCGATGGAGGCAGGATTCGCAACGACGAAGCCGTGATGAGCTGGGGCAGCCTCCGCAGAGACAAGGGGACCCAGACTCCGTGACTGCATTAAGACGCTGAAGTGCATGAAAAGGGTAAAGCTGACGACAGTGGACTTTCCTTAAAATAGTTTCTGAGTACCTACCACTTTTGGAAACACATCAAATCCAGTGCACAGCTAACAAATCATTAACTGAAGTAGGTATTACAGGACGTCCACTAGGCAACACACACGTCGGCTAGTTGGTTCCTATATATGCATGTGAACCATAAAACTTATTTTTCAAGGTTTCCTGATTCAAACTGGCCTCTCTAATTATCTGAAATCAGTGATGCTTGCCATATGTTCATCTATGAGATCCTGTTCCAAAATCAACACCACAAACTCCACAGGAGGTACCAATATGAAAATGAAATTACACAAAAGATAAAAATTAAACAGAAATACATGGGAATTCGTTAGTTCTGATGGTCAATAAAAATATTAATGTTTAAGCTGCCACCTGTAGAGTAGTAAATGTCAGAATATTTGTAGAGGACAGCAAATAATTGTGAAGAGTATACTTTACAAAACCCAAAGATGACCTCTGAGCTGTGGTCCGAGTCTGCTCCTCTAGCCACATGGGCCACTATCCAGATCCTTCCCACCGCTGGCTGGGCTGGACATGCTGCCTTCCTCTGGGCTGCCCCTGGCATCGCTCCCGAGCTGGGCCTTTTCCTCTGCAGGTGAACCTTCCACCTTCTCTGATGTGTCTGGGCCAGAGACAGGCCTACTAGACTGGCTGCTTTCAGTACTGCTTTCAGGCAGTGTGCTTTCTCCCTGGATTCCACCGAATTCTTTGGGCTTTGTATCCAAAATGGGTAATTTATGCTGTAGAGAATGACATTTTAATTTTTTAATTAACATAATGTGAAGATTCAGTCATCAAACACGTTTAACAAGTTCCTATGCAAATCTGTATCAAACTCTCAACTCCTTCAAATCCCAGCTCCAGTGCTGTGCTGTAATTACGTAAATGTTAGTAAGCCTCACAGAACCCTGCAGGGAGGAGTGGGGGCACTCAGGATATTCCAGGTGGTCTAGTGACCCAGCTTTAGGAGAGGGCAAGAGGACTGGGGACCAGTACTGCTAACTCCTCTTGTCTGGTGAGAATAATTTATTCGACAAATATTTACTGAGCCTGTATTCAGTTCCAGGTACTGGGGCCACAGCAGGAACAAAACCAACAAAAACCCTTGCCCTCACTGGAACTTCCATTTAGCTTGGGGAGACAAGCAACAAATTAACAAAGCACCACGCTGGGATCAGACGACTGTTTAAATTAGGGTAATGTGAAAGGTGATACAGGAGTAAAGACTTAAAGAAATGAACCACATTTCAGCATTCTAGACAGAGAAGAGCAAGTAAAAAGGTTCTAATTCATGGAATAGCGAGGAGGCCCTTGTGGCTGAAGGAGAGTGAGCGTAGGAGAAGAAATCCATGTACTAACAGAGGCGGGCGGTGGGCAGATCAAGGAAGCCCTGGGCCACCGAGGTACCTAGCTTTCCCTTTAAGTGAGATGAGAAGTCCCTGGAGAATTTGAGATGAGCGGTGCATTACCATTAACTATTAAATGAAAGGAACATCTGAAAATTTTTTAGATGTCGGCAGGTATGTTTATTCTTATAAGAAACTCCATGGGAAGGGATTCTAACTTTCTAGATTCTGCTCTGCTCACAACTGTTTCTCAAAGGTTTACAGTTACAACTTAAACTTTGCAAATGACAATGTAAATTCCTCTCTCAAACAAAAACAGAAACGTCCCTTTAAATGGCCAATAATGTAGAAAAAACACCTCAGCATTCTGCAGGTAGAAAGTAGAGTCTAGCCAATGATGCCAAGGATTTGGGAAAGCGGGGTGTGTGACCCCTCCCTGCCCACTCTCCCACCCAGCTGAGCCTTTAGGGGTCTCCTGCAGGTTCCCCCGGGCTCCGGGCCTTCAGTGAAGACTTTTCCCTGAGCTCTTCAAAGGCAGAAATTTCAGTCACGATTACTTGGTTTCCTATGAAATTTCATATGAATTACTACCTGTTCTAACTACCATTAAATAGGATTTAACATAAAAAAATGAAATCTCGTTTTAGTTCTTCTGAGAAGGCTGAACTTTTGGCCAGAAAATAGAATAATGGGATATAATTAACCGTGGCAGGTAAAAGAGAAGAATCGCCTACCCAGAAGCTCTACAGGAAGCACGGAGGCCTACATGAAGGACAGCAAAATAAACAATTGCTGACTTACACTGGGTACCACCGTGGGACGCTCTCTCGCCTCTGCCTGGGGTACATCGCATGGCCGGAGCACTTCGGGGCTCTTGGTGCCAGTCCTAGGTCTCAAGTCAACATCTTTCTCTCTCATACCATCTCTTCTACCCTCATATGTTCTGTCATAAGGGCCTCGCTCAAAGGGGCTGATGTGGCCTCTATAAGGGAAACGTGCATCACCTGCTCCACCATGGGGTCTATCATCAACTTCCTGCAGCCGTCCTCTATCACCTGGCTCAAGTGCCCGGGGTGGTTCTCTCTCAGGACCACCTAAATGTCTCAGCATATTAACTGATTTCCCAGCACCATAGCAGAAACTCTAGAAGGAAAAGAAAGAAATATATAGTATTTAATGGCTGACTTACAATGAAATTATTCAGGGTGCTAGCAAAATTACCTAACTTGACTTAATGGCATTTGGAGACATAAACATGTTTGCTTCACTCTTGTTTCATTTGCGATCTCGTTTAGATTAATACTAGGCCAGAGTAGCCAACAAAATGTGAGAAATCACTAAGTGGTAAGTAGACATTTCAATCAGCTGAACACACTTTCACTGAATTGTAACAAGGGCAGTTTGGCTAAAACCTAGAAACTTAAATTGAAAGGTACTAATTGATAACTGTTCATCAGATGTCTATCGCCACACCCACCATATAAGGTAAATGCTAAAAATTAGTGTTACACACATCATTACATAAACATTCTCATGTAGGGTAACTTTTCTACAAATACAAACTTGGCTTTAGCGACAACTAAAATTCAACAGGCTTTGAATCCCATTTCATGGGGAAAACTAGGCAGCAGTTCTCAAAACTGTGGCCCAGGGACCCCTGAGACAGTTTCGGGGACTCTGTAAGGTCAAA